AAATAAATGAAGTTGTAATAAAAAAAACCAAAAACTAGTTCTCTGCAGTACGACCTGGAAGCATGTGCATTTGTGGAATTCATTGTAGATCATCAGGCCTAAGTTTTTGGTGTAGAGCTTAGTTTACAGAAACATTTGAACAGCAGAAGCACCTTTTTTTTTCCTCACCCTGAACAAGGGTAAATACAGTTCATAACTTCTTTGCACAGGACTGCTGTGACTGGACAGTTATAAACATCTAAACTTGAATAATCATAGTAGCATTTAAGCAATATTAAAATATTATTAATAATGAATATTATTATTTTGCTTTCCCAAGCTATTCCTAAGATTTTGATTGCTTTAGGCACATGCAGTTGTTAATCCCAAGGCATTAAGAGGGTAACCAAGCACTTAAGTGTTAAATTTTGGACAATATAGTAATAAAGAAAAGGGAAGGTGCTACAGAAATGGAGATCCTTTCCTACTTCAAGAGGCTAATGAAAGGTCTTTTTTAAAAACAAACAACCCCCCCCACACCTAATTCAACATAGTATATTTAGCTGTTGACCAAGAAAAAAAATACAGAGGAGCTTGGCACAGACCACCTACTCCCTGTTACATTAAGGTACCTTACCGTAAGAAATAGAAGGAAATTTTTGTTGTTGTTTTTTGCACAAGGCTTATGAGTGGAGAAGACCAAAAGCCTGCACTGTATCTGAGGATTGCCATTTTGGGGTTTTTTGAGATGTGCTTACTTGTTTAGTACCTTCCCTCCCCCAAAGCCACCATCTTGCCAGCAGAAAGCTCTGCTTGTGCATGCACCCAGCAGAAGGAAGAAACGCATCATCTCCCCCTTGGGTCACAACCAAGATCATGGTGAGTTATGTCAGTGTGATGTTAAAGCTCTGTTATCCTGCTGCTGTGCGGTCCTCCCACAGTGGCATCCCTGTTCTGGAAAGGGTAGTTCTGTCAGTCTCTCAACAATGGAGACTTCCCTTTCTTGGGCAGCATCCCCCATTTCAGCTAGGGTTTGACTCTGGTTTTGGCTGCCAGAGTAGCAACTAAACCTTGATGCCTGAACAGGGAGTTAGCCTTCAAAGTAAACAGCATAACTGAGCAGATACCTCCAAACCTGCTGTAGAAGAAAATATTGAAGAACTAGTGAAGCCACTAGAAGGTAAGGAGCCAACTAATACAGTTTGACATAAATTCAAAGGTCATGTCTTTTCCTAGGACAATGAAATAATTCAGATGAATAATCATCTCCCTAAGACTGCTTATACTCAGCTGCCCTTGAAGTAACTAACTCAAACATGATTTTTAAAAGAAGTGAATTATTTTTTATTATAAAGCATCTCCCTGCTTGGCTTAAAGAAAAAGCTGCAGCTTCCAAGCTTTTGTTTACAAAGCAACTTATCACCAGCCCCAAGTCAGTAATTGCTGTGGTCCTTAAGATTTAAAGCTTGCCCTATGCCAAAGCTCTATTTAACACTGCACACCTAACCATATTTAACACTGCATTATTTGCCATTTGTACATTAATCAGATCTTACATATGTGAATGTTTTCATCTTGGAAGTTTTTCACAGTTCCTAAGATGGCTTAAATTGCCCTACTTCTGCTTGAATTAAAAGTTAAAGATGCACTCATTGCTTTAGTAACCTGTAGAACCATGGGATGGTAGTAAAGTTGTGGATACTGCTAATGGCAGGGTAAGCATTTGTCTCTAAATCTGGTAATTTTAAGGTAAAATGCAAGCTTTCTAGAGATAATGCCCATCTAGTACAAAGGACTAAAGCAAAAAACCTAGAACTAATTTTGAGTTAAACTAAATCATGAATATGCATACTTAGATCTTCAGTGTAATTTTGATTTTGGCAAGCTTGAAAAAAATATCTCCAAAAGCATTAGGGAATGGGATTTTTTAAAAAAACCAAACCACCCCAATAGTCATAACTGATCCCTGTGTATATTGAAATATTAAGATCAATTCAAGCAATTAGAGCTATTGCTCAATAGATGTAACCAAACAAAAGGGAAACCATTTTAACTGAGGAAATACTTAGTTGTAAGATAAGAAGCTCTGGAACAATCTCATTTTAAACAGCTCAGCCTTGGAAGAACAGATGTGCAAAGATAAGAAAGTTACAAGGTGATCACAAAACCAGCCTTGAGAGATAAGGTATAGGTGATACCAGGACTGAGTCTGAAGACCCCCCAATGACCACCCAGAGGTGCCAACAAATATGTGTGAAAGACATTAGGATATGCTAATGAATTCCCAGAAAATCCATGAATGTGATAAGCACTACTTGGAAATATAATGAATATGTATATTAACATAGTATAAATACTTGCTAGTTTTGTCTTTTGGGTATGCATGTTAGGTGGAGTTATTCCCCCATGCACCCAGTGCTACAATAAAGAATGCCTGCTTTCTAAAACTTCAAAATGAGTCTTAGAGAGTGAATTATTTTGCCGCTTTCTGGTAACATAACTACATTTGCAGAAAGCCAGCAGCTTCCTGCTTAACTGGATTCCAAAGATGACATGCATGGAGAAAGACAGACTTGTCAGATTGAATTCTTAGTTTAACAGACATTTCAGAAGGCATGTTTATGCAGACTTGGTGCATGTTTGCAGGAGATAGTTTTCCATTTAAAATAAAATTTCAAGCCGTCTTAAAATTTTGTTGGAAACAGTTCTTCCAGCTGAGAATGTCACCAATAAGAAGTACTTGGTTTTCACAAATTAGCACGCTTTCAGTCTGGAACTACATTAATTTGGAGGTCTGGCTTTGGTGACTATTGGTGTTCTTTTGATGTCATTAAATAATAGAGATAGACTAGCACTTCAGTGCAAATTACAATTCATCAAACCCTTGTGTGTGTGTGGTTCTACTTACTGGTCAGGGATTTTGTGCCCCCAAAATAACTGAAGCTGCAGTCATTCAAGGTTTAGGCTATGAGCTGTAGAGAAAAAGGGTTGGTGCTGAAAAACCTGATATCCCTATCTTTGAAGTTTTTATTTCAGTCTAGTTCTGAATACCCATTAAACAGGTTGAGTACAGTTAGAGGTATTCCAAGAATGTATTTCTTGCTTGAGTTTTGCAGTAACTAAATGCAGTTTGTGCACTACAAACACTACACTAACAAGCCATATCATGGTAAATGGTCTGCTAGCTTTGAAAGCATAGAAAGCTTAATATTCAACTACAAGCTTAACTAAAAGTGTTAATATACTTAGTGCAGTGTTCCTGCTTGTTTCCATTTTGAAAGTGTTAATTCATAGAACACTAAAATCAGTCAGTACCTATAATACTCTTGAAAGAATTATTCTAGGTTCTGCTCCCCCCCCATTTTCCAGGTGTAAGAGTCTTTTTGATGTCATATCCAAGAGAGCCATCACTAACAATATTATGGTTGCATAGCAACCTCAATGTGATGAATAATTGGTTTAAAGCAGTCCTTTGCTGTATATTTCTTTTCCAACAGGAGCCAGTTTCCTACCACTGCAACTAATAAAACTCTTGAAGAAAAACATATGCAGTGTTTTACAACTAAATAAGAGGTTTCTTTATTCAAGTATTTTGTTATTTCTGGGCACTATCACCAGATTACTGCACCAAGTTATCTTAAAAAGTACCTAGTATTCCAGCATTATAATTTCTCTGCAAACAGAACACCAAGCCCCACCTAAATCTCTGCCCCTGCTTGGATTATCACTTGAAAGCACAACAGGTGAAGGTAGAAATGAACTAATACAATACTAGTAATCCAGCTGTAATTTCCAAAAGCATTAGTTTTTTTACCTAGTCAGCTACAGTGAGTCTTCTCTACAGAAAAATCTTAAACACAGACATATACAACATACAAGTCATATTCCCAGTTTTGTTTATTTCCATGGAATGCTAATTTAGTTACAATATGGCAGTTCATAACTACTGAAATGTGACATTAATTCATCTCCAATGCTGCAGAACAGTCTTGATTTATATATATTGTTTTAAAACAATCTTATTTTACATAGTTGAGGTCTCTGGTGGTTTTTAAGCTCTGATGCTTAAGCACACAGCAAGCTACAAACCTTAGGTTTTATATTTATACATATATTCTATGTATTCAGACAACTGCTGTAAGTTATCTATAATTTAATATTTATAAAAAGTGCATATACTGGTACATATGCACATCTAGAAACACACTTTTACAACTGCCTCCCTTTTATAAAAAGCTGCATAACATACAGCCATATTAATCCCGCTCACTGCTATTAAAGTCCTTTACTATCTTTTGTTACAGTTTCAACTATTCAATTCCCTCAAACAATGTAAGTATTTCTATGTATATTTTTCTCCTAAAGAAAAAATGTCCTCCCTATTCCTTTAAGAAGCTTTAAATCATGCATCAGTTTAGTAAACAGTCACTTTAGCATGGATTTTAGAATCCTAGACAGTGTAAAATCTACTTCTGGAAAATGTCTGTATATTTAATTTCTTCTTTTAGTTACAAAAAATATATAGGATTGAAACATACTGAATACATGCATCTCTCAAAGTGGCTATGTTCTAGCCTTATAGATAAATTAAAAAAGTACACCCCTGCTAAGAGGATGCAAACATGGCCTCAAATAGGCCATTACCTGTATTTAATATAGCTCATTACATTAAAAACTTCAAGTCAGCTGTTCTCTCAAGATGGTGTCAAAAGACTGAAGAGCATAATATATTCATGCTCAATATACAAAGGTGGGTACACATACCTAGTGCCATTTAATTATTCAATACTTTCAAGGCTTCTGGGCTTTGCCTCTGGTGATACAAGTCCTGAAATGATCTGAATGAAAGTTTAAGTTGAAAATTGTTTTTTAATACACCATAAAAGCAAGTTGTGTTTAAAAGAAAAATGTACACTGAACAACCTGAAGTACTCACTGAAACAACTGTACAAAACTATTATAGATACAGAAAGAAATAATGGTGGACTTAACTTCAAACAGAAGTAACACTTGTTAACATCTGTAAAAACTTGCTTTGTTTTATTCTTCTACCAAGTAAGAATTTGCAGCCGTTGAGAACAAGTAAAATTCAAACCACTTCACAATGTTTACATTTAAAGTTTTTATACAGTGCAAACGTTTAAGACAGAATAACTCCCCAGTGAAATGGGTGACACTACTCAGTGCCACTCTGAAGATTCTTCTTTCAATAAGTCTATTTACACATTAAGCTAAAGGTTCACTATATATGCTTTGAAGTTTGCTGAATATCAGCAGAAAAAAAAATGTGAACTAGCAGCAGTTGTATTACAAATATATGATGGTTACTTTAATGAATGCATAAAGTTTTCAAGACTGTATTCGGTGTCATACTGTTCTTGATCCCATAGTTCTCCAAGGTTTTCGAGTACTGATTTCATTGATGCTTTCCCAGAAGAGGTAGAGGTATCTGCTTTTTCAGTTTTTCCATCCTTCCCAAAAAAAAAATAATCAATTAATATACAGAACAGTGTTTTCAGGAATATACTAAATTCTTCAAGTCTGATGATTCTTTTGCAGAAATATTACTTCCTCCTGTTTTTCAGAGAGCTGTCTACTATTCATCATTCCGACTTCAAATGTTTGTCTGATTAAATTTTTCAAAGCAAACCTTTTGCCTGAGCTTACTCTATTTTTGGTAGGTATTTGTAAAAATGGTTCTTTACCTTGTCAAGAGTGAACAGATCAAGAAGCTGTTCTGTTCCCATGCTCTGTAGGCTTGCGTTTTCTTGGCTGATCACTGTATTTGCAATATTCATTTTGAACTTTTGAAGACCCATGATCTTCTCCTCCAGAGTTCCCCTGGTTATCAGGCGATAGACATTAACAACACGTTTCTGAAACAAAAAAAACCCCACACTTAGCTAAAACAGATCAGCTCAGGTATTCAGGAAAGCATAACCTTTTAGTATTCATCAGGGGCAGTCTGGAAGCAGTTTGGCTTGGAGTTACCTGTCAGTAATTACACTCAGTAAGTCTGACTGATGTTAGATGAAAAGAATGAAACTATGCCAGCAGATAGTAGAGGCCCCTGCAATTGTATCTGTACTCAGTAAGTTAAGAATTCACTGCTTTTTACAACTGTAGAGGGGGACTAACAGCAGTCACTCTTTC